GACTTTTTTGTTTTTTGTGTTCACAACTTTAACAACTTGTTTTTAAAACGTGCTTTATAAATAAATTTTACAATGATGGTAATGACGAGGATGATGAGGATGAGGATGATAATATTTCAGTAACAAACATGTGGCATTAGTTTATACATAGCTAACACTATATCAGCATTTTAGCTTGGAGCCTAACGCGAACACTAGCAACCGCTAGACTGAGGTTTTCCAATCCATGCAACAGCTCTGTTGTTCTCCATTCACATTTTCAGTTACAGACTCAGGCTGAATCATTCTACGTTCTCTTTACTGTCAAGGCGCTCTGGTTTCATTTAAAAGGGACAATGGTCATTGTCCAAGATTATTGCTCAGTATGCTCAGCAGCATTTATAAAATGGTTCTGTTTATGTAAAAAGTTTTTTAAATAAAAAAAACAGCTTACAATATTTTACAGTCTTTGGTTTACAGGTGAAGTGTTTATCAAATGATGTTGAATGTTGCAAGTCAGGGATCCCTTTAAAGGGGCAATATTATGTGTTTCTCAGGTAAACATTTAAATACTATGCCATAATAAAGTACCTGTCACCTTTAGCTGTTATAAAAATTCTGTTTTATGTTTAAATAGACAATAAACTTATCTTCTCACCACTTCCTCGTCTAAATGCCTTGAAATTGGCCTCTGTCGCTTTGAAACCCACCTTCTGCTTCTGTCCTGCCCATTTCAGTGTGTATGGGGGTGGTGCGCTCGCAAGTGGGAGGGGCTGCCATGATGCAGTTTACTTGGCATCTGAAAATACATTCTCTCAAAGTTATTTTTAATCTGAAAAGAGTGTCTGACTGAGAAGTAGTGGAGCTCAGCAGACAGTTTAAGTTTCACTTTCAGTTTCACCCGAGAGCCTGCAGGGATCATGGGCGGGGTGTGTGGGGAGGGGGGGGGGAGCGCCCTGCCATGAGGAAGTTCGGCTGTTTCTGGCGTTTCTGGTCCCCACCTGTCGTTTTGCTCCTCAGCATGGCTT